GAAGACTATTGTATCGTTAAAAATTATTTTTTTATTTTGTACAAACAAAATAAATATATTGAAAAATATAAAAACAATAAAAAATTATACTTCAGAAGTTAATTTAGTATCAAAAACGTAAAATATTTGAGTAGCCGAAGACATAGCCAAAGATTACAGTGCCACAGCACTGGCGAAAATTTAAATTTGTCAACTGGAATTCCTTCGGATAAACGATGCTCTACTGTAATGCTACATTAATTTACTTGATATGATTTCTTTGTAATTTTTTTTGTTTCCTAAAAGTAAGGAATTCAAAACAAGCAATAAAAATTTATCAAATTTTGGTCATCATATAGCAAGAAAAATGAAGGTGTGGTTTTTTTAAAGTGTGTTTTAGATTAATACTAAAATAAATATAAAATGCAATTAGAAAGTATTTTGAAAAAAAAAATATATATATAATAATAAACTTATATTCTTTATGAACAATATAGAACAAAATGGCTAACAAAAATCGAATGTTTTTTAAAAGTTCAAACTGATTACATTAGAATACATTGTGTTAAAATTTATGTTATTTCAGGATATAATTTCAAAATATATATATTATTTAAACAATAAACAAATAAATAATTAATTAATTTCACGTTAATTACTATGACATAAATATCCTATGTAATTTAAATTATCATTAATGCGAGTTTCTGTCAGTGGAATCTAGTTCAAAAATGGCATGCCATGTTGTGGAGAGCATGTCCATTTCCTTGAAGTTAATAGTGACTCCCTTTTTAATTGCACAATAGATCTTAACTTCGAGATATTTGAGTTGTGCTTTATCCAACATCTTGAGTAACAATTTTATGTTCTGTAGCCCAACCCAGACGTCCTCACTACTGCATATGTCGCTAAGGCTGTGGTTGTCAGCTTTTTTCTCATAAAATATTCATGTTCCTTCATCCTCATGGCGAGATCTCTTGCTGTCGTTCCAATTTATATTAATGAGTGATTAACTTCGCTGTCATAAATGTGTTAGATCTAATGCGCTTGATGGTGCACTCTTCCTTCTTCGAATATGAAGGTGTCACCTACCTAGAGATAAGGGGTGTACCTATGGATAGCCCAATATCAGGAACTCCGTGTGAATTAGTGGTCAGAAAACACAAGAATGTCATATTACTTAAATTTCATGAGAACATAGCATTGTGTGTCAGATACATTGATGACATTCTCATAGTATGGAACAAAGTATCTAACCTTGACTCGGTACTTAGGTACTTTAACGATAACCCCTACGGTCTGTCATTGAGAGTTGTATGACTATACATTTTTTTGGATATCAACATCAAAATGAAACACTGTCATCTTTCCATCTGTGTTTTCTGTAAGGAGACATAGTCACCTCTATTTATACCTAACCATTCACATGACCCTTATTGTTACAAAGTCTCCACTTTTCGATCTCCAGTAAAAAGGGCCCACAAACATTGTTCAGAGCAAAGTAAAAAAGAAAATGCATTGTCTTGGATCAAGATCCTAGCAACACAGCATGATACCTGTTCTCTTTGATCAATCATCTCATAAAATAATATATAAATAAGGGAAACAGAACTATTCCACAAGAACAAATGAAAGTTATCACATACAATGAAACACTTTCTAATATATATAGAGAAATTGCCAGGACCACTAAGATGCACTTAGCATATCAACACTCTCCAACAATCTTCCCTCTCATCAGAAATGATAAAAATCATAAATTTACAATGACCGAGTTAACCGCTCATTAATATTCTTTATGAAGTTTCTTTTATTATTTTCATAAGATTACATAAAATAAATTATATGCTTGTTATTTAAAAAACAAAAAATTAAATTGCCAAAATTACTTACCAACTTTCGTGGGAAATATTTCTTCATTATTTATTTGTGTCTCAGTCCAATCCATTAATAAATTTATATATTGTGGTGCTGGAAATGGTGTAGGTTTTTTATATTTAATTCCATCAGCCCATAAATATTCAAATCTAAAAGAGCATAAATTATTATATTTTAAATATAAAGTTACTTGAAAATAATTTAAAAATAAAATTCTTGACTATCAGAGATTGGTGACTATTATCTACAAATACTAGAAAGTATTTGAGATCTCCGAATAGCTCATTGATAAAAATTTGAATACTGTGAATACCTCTAATATTGCACCATATATACAAACAGTATCTCTGCACCCAGGGTTGTCAGAAAGATAGAGTCAATTATCCCCAATGTGTCTGCAAAATTTTCTCAAATTACCTTATTTATCAAAACATTCTTCACAATATCAATATTACAGATACAATTTCAATAAAATTGTTTAACACACTTGATGTCAAATTAATACAATTAATAAATACACACTGTCTTTTGGCATTAATTTAGTTTAATCTGAATGTATGCAAGTAGTTACATTTGTTGACAGTACTTAAGTACATTCAGAAATGCGAAATGTAAAAATAAACGTAACTTTTTATTGGAATGTTTTTTCGAAGAGTTATTTATTGAATTTCCACGTAACAATTTGATCTATTTCATAATTTAAAAATACTCAAGATAATTAATATTCTATAAACTTGTTGAAAGAAGGAAGAACACACACACTGTATTTTCACAAGCTTTGAACATCCTAAGAAAAATTTGTTTTCTATTACTGATGTCCAGAAAATATTTCTCAACAGTTAAATGTAATGTTGAAAATTTATTTTTTATATTACTAAAAACATGTCACAGCTGAAAATGCTTCTTAACCACTCAACAGTGAGGGATGGATATATCCGTCCAGGGCGATCATGTGGCAGTGGTGAGGGACGGATATATCTGTTAAATTCTTTTGGGGGTATCGCCAAAAACTATCACAAAAATAAATTTCATATAAAAAATGAATTATGTAACAATAAAAAAACTTTTCTTTACTAGACATAACTGTTTACAAAATCTTTTTCCAAAATGGTAATGAAAAAAACTTGTGGAAAAAATACTTTAAAAATTTCCCACATTTATTCTCCACTACTTTGGGTAGCACTATACCTGACTATCCCACTGCTGAAAGGTTAAGAAATAAATATTTTGTAATAACTAACAGCATTTTATTATTTTCAAATAAAAGTGTTTGAAATTTGGACAAATCTCCCAGAACTACACAGGATATAACCTCTATTTTGATTATGTAAGTTTTCTATGAAATGACTTCAAATTCATAAATATATCAAAGTATCAAAATTGTTAAATAGCATTGATATTTTTTTAGAATTTATCAAAAAAATCTCTCTCTGTTAAAAGAAAATCAGTATTCATTAAAATCTAATATTTTTTACTCAAATAATTATCCTTCTTTATTGACAAGCAGATAATCAATAATACTGGTATAAAAATAATCAGCAATTAAAATTTTCAGCAAGTCTAGAAAAATTATCATCATCATAAACATAAAAAAATAATAAATCCCAAATTATTTTTCTATTTCATTTTCATGTTTACAAATTAGTTCATTAATAAAATTACAATAAGGAATGTGGTCTACCAATTATTATTAATTCTTTATCCTTATTTCAGTCACTATTTTCATATCTTTAGTAAGTTTTGTAGATGAGATCACTATCATTAAACAAAATGTTTCTTAACTAAATCTTCAATTTGGTTAGGAAATATATGTTTTTCATTAGTAGGCATCCTAATGATCTCAGTCAGAATTACATTGACAGAACTATGTCAGACTACTGGCTGATTAGATATGATTGCCGTACAAGACCAGAGAAATCATAAATACGAGAACTACAGAAAGCACATTTCAAAGATAACATTTACTGTCAATACCAGTAGAAAATTCCTCATCATGTATGGATTAAACAATGTATCTCATTGAGTTGCCAGCTTTCTGCACAAACAGAGTGATCAACATAACAAAATAGCTAACATAATACATCAAACAAACAAACAAACACCCAGTAACTATAGGACATCCAGTTTTTACAAATACACACTTCAGACAGTAATATAAAACAACAAACACAAAATATGCTAGACTAAGCCACAATCACAGATAAAACAATTCCATCACAACAGACCAGACTTCATGGTTATTGACAAACAAAGCAAAATCACACACATTGTAGACATAGCTGTTCCAAACACCCACAATATACACCAAAAAAATTAGTAAATTCTCAGAACTTCCCCGCAAAATAAAGTCTGTAAAGAATGGTTAAGGTATTTATTGTACCAGTAGCCGTTTCTTGCATGGATGTTATACCACATACACTAAACAAAACTTTAAAAACATTAGGATTTAACAGCAGCATATACATCACATTACAGAAAGCTGCTACATTAGATCTCAATGCATTTGTCTTGCATCAATATTGAACTGAAACAGAAAAAACCCATTGCAGTTTGCATATTGCATGACTTCAGAGGCCCTATTCAATGCATGTGGAACGCACTTGAAAAAGTGTCTACAGCAAGTGGAATACACACTAGGGTTTCTCATTTCCTGGTCTTTTGCTTGTCCTGGGATTCCGGGATAAAAGTGAACTGTTTCCCAGGATCCCAGGATATAATTAATTATTTTTGAGATATACAAAACATCTTGAAATCAAATGATAAAATTATTTTTCATTTTTTAAAGTAATTTAATACGTTCTGTAACCTCCAAAATCATATTAATAATGTTGTGTAAGATATATATTAAAAATTACCTTTGAATTACGTAGAAATTTTCACAAATAGAAAAAAATTATTAAAGTTTGCTGTTAACTGCATACAACAAAAAATGCTTTGAATTGAGTTAAAAATTAAAAAAAATGAACTTAGATCAAACTTATAACTTAGAAGGTAATTTTCATTCTTTAAATAAAATATAATACAAAATATTGTAAATTTTTATAAGATTTTAAAAAGCAAAGATGGTCAATACACCAATGACTCAATCTAATTCTTATTTTAGTAATGAAAAGTCTTGCTACCGAGAATGCCTTTACTGATTCAATTGATGTGATTGGAATCGTGTTTAATGCATTTAAGAGAAGATAAATATTATGTATTTTTCATCTGTATCCTGAAAGATTTCTAGTTTGTTTTTGAGAATGTAGTACTTCTTTTGCTGTCTAGTATTCTTGATTTGTCTACTTCGACTGCTTTAATAGAAACATCATAGCTCAATAATTCGACAGTTCGTTTGTCTTTAATAATCAGGTTATGAAGAAAAACTTCATACTTACAGACTTCGTACTCATTTGTATCCTTGCCTAATTTGTACAACTTGGCATTACACAGTTATTGAAACTACTGAGCATGGTTAAAAATTAAGACAGCATAAGCACAATTATTCCAGATATTACAGGTAAAGAATTTTGAGAGTTCTGCCACAAATAAGCTACATATTGATTATTGACCATTTGTAACATGCCATAACAAGCAAAAATTAAAAAAATAATAAGTAGGTTTAAAATTAATAAATACAAATGTATTCTGACAGTTTATGAGTTAATTATACTTTCTATTTGCAAAATTTCCTCAACAGTAACACAAAATAAAAAAAAAGTGAATTTTTAAGAAATTTGCAAGATTTTCCAGGATAAGAAAAATTTTCTGGGTTAAAAAAACAACTGGGATCTTGTGATCCCATTTGAGAAACCCTAATACACACATCACAGAAGATTCTTAAACAACATGCATACAAACATGAACAACACAAATAACAGCTTTTTCTATAAATATTCTTGATTCTGGTCTGGCACAGTACCATGCATTAACATTAACTAGGTAGGATACATTCCACCAACACCACCATAATAATAATATCATCTTTTAGAATATTAGTTAATGAATTAAAATGAATAGAAATGTTTGATTTGATTATTTCAAAAAATTATAAAAATTTATTTCACAAAACTAAACTTACTTAGATCCTCCTGACATTGTTGGACATGATTTTTCTGTACAGTGATCAGTTACACAGCCATAAATCAAATTTATACGATTGAAGAAGTCAACCACTACAAAAAATAATAATAGTAATTATATTTCAAAAATAAATTCTCACAGAAATTTTTATTTTCTATTTCTATTTTTCACATCATATGTCAACACACCAAGAGAAGTGTGTTTATTAAATTTATTTTTTGTAAAGTGTATTATTTTTATATTATTTAATTAAAAAAAATTGATGTTAAATTATATATTAATAGTTCTATTTTAAGTTTATCTAAATTATGAATATTCTTAGTATTGAATTAGCAGCCTTTTATTCAAATTTGAGTATTGTTGACATGTACTAGTTACACACACTTATGCCCTGTTGTTTATGAGCCTGTGGTATATAATTTTTATCACAATCACTTTTGCTATAAACACAATAAACATAATAATAAAAAAATGTACTTCAATTCAAATTATCTAAAGTGGAATTTTTAAATTCAAAATCAAATTTTATATTTCAACTGTATTCTCTCTAATAATAATATTAGTAATTTCAAATAATTAATTTCAGGATAAATGTTTTATTTTCCAGTTATTGAGATTATTCTTTTCTATAATTCATGCTATATTTTATAGGAAAAGTCTTCAATATTTAATATAATATAGGAAGAGATCTGCATATGTTGATTTTTTAGGATTCAATAAACTGTAAATCTATCAAGACTAAAAGCAAATAAATCTCAAATCTGTGTATCAAAAGATTTGAATATCCACCAAAAGTAACTTCAATATCATGGCAATAATTTCAGAAGAATTATAAAATGTCAAAACAATTTGGATAATAGTAATATTATCCAATATTGTATTAATTGTATTAAATTTGCCAAAAGCACAGTTCTAGAACTGTTTGTAGTCTCAATACTTGAATAGAGAGTATAGACTTTTTTGTAACTAGACAACAGTTTTAAAACAAATATGTCAAAACATAATTATGTTTATGTAAGAAATTCATTTTTCTCTGTTTTTCAACTTTTTTTTATAGGTAGAATTTATTTGAAATAGTGCACACTATTATTCTTGAAGCTTAAACTAATGTATCAGGGAAAAAAATTTTCATTTTGGATATTGTATTAATTGGATACAAAATTGAAATTATAAGCATTCTAAAAACAATGAAGATTACTTTTTGGAAAAAGTATTTGATTTGCTTCCAAAAATAATTAATGCAAAAGTAAAAATAAAGCATTTAAATAATTGTTTAGACTTTCTAATAATCATTTTCATTAATATAAATGAAAAAGGATCTAAAGAAGTGGTTCTGAAACTGTGGTCTTCAGACCCTAGGTTCACAAGTTACTTGTAGGAAAATCTGCATGTATTTAACAAGTATCCACCAGGGAAGATACTTGTTAAATAATAAAATAGGTGTTTTTAGAAATACTTATTATTTAACAAATATTTGAAAACATTTAAAAGCTATACTAAGCTTTAAATTTAAAAAAAAAACAGTTCTATTAAGTATTTTAACTTTTAAAATCTTAGAATTTGACAATCTTGTCCAATACTAATAATTGCCATCTTTTTAATCATTATTTATATCTAAATTAGCCATATTATAATTTTTTTCTATTTAATCACTTACCATGTACAGCTAGCCAATCATTTAAATTTTCACCTGGAGGAAGTTTAACAACATCACGAAGATTAATTCCTGAATTAAGTGATGCTTGTGCTTGTTTATGCAAAGAGTAACGTAATGTACCTGGCTCAAATTTCTTCTTTGGTCGAAAAGTCTGTCCACAAAATTAAATTTATAAACATATAAAAATTTTGATTATTTTCCTCTAATAAAGGATTCCACACAAACCTTATGTATTTTTGGCCTTCTGAAATGACAAATGACTGAAATTTTATATGTTATATAGTATGTTATACTTCTTGATTGATTGAAAAGTCTCAATGGAGCTTGAAAATGGCTATTTTTTTTTTTTTGTTTTTTGCTATAACCATTCGAATATATAAGAGGTGTACTGTACGAGAGACTGGGGCAAGTAGTCAGCGTTTTTAGAGTAGCAACACATTCACTTTTTTTTTTTTTTTTTTTTTTTGCTGGAGTTGTTCAAATATATTGAAGTTGTAAACACAAGGTGTTAATAAGTCTCTCCCTGAGCAATTATTTCAAAAAGTAATAGGGCAATCACTGATTGAAAAGCCTTTTAATGCATTCAGAAATTTTATACAATCATGGATCAGGACATCAAACATGACAGGTAAATGCTTCATTGCACAACATGCAGATAGACAGCAGTGTATTAATGCATAACATGAATGCAATGTGGGAATGTTGAAATATGTAATTAGGTTAGCAATGATATGGATATGAAAATGATCTGATTTAATAGAAACTATCAAAATGTCATTAACCTAATCACTATATCATTGCTAAAAAACCTAAGTAAACATTCAACCAATTCTGCATTGCTTTTGTGTTATACAATGATGCACTGCTATTCCTGTGTATTGTACAGTGATGGATTTTCCTGTTATATTTGACAGCCTGTTCTGGAACTTACTTGATATTTTGAAATGGATTAAAAAGACAATAGGGTACATCTTTCACCTATAGTGATTAACCTATTACTTTTTGAATAATTGGCTGGAGAGACACTTGTTACTGTCTTGTATATATACCACCTCCATTTTTGAATGGCTCTAGCAAAAAAAAAAAAAAAAGCTTTGTGATTGAAAAGTCTCAATCAGTTAACTCAGTCAGAGACTTTTCAATCAGTTAATCAAGAACTAAACATTCAGCCAATTTTATCAAGGGTCAAAACTCATAAGGATTGTGCAGGATTCTTTAAACATTAGATTTTTAAATTTAAAGAATGTTAAACTAATAAAAATTTAAATAAATTAAACTGAGAAACTAATAGTATTTTTATTTAATAATGATATGTAATAACGCAATATTATATCACAGATTAAAATTAATTTTCCAAAACTTCATATTAACAGAGCAACATTAGAATTCTATATTTACTTAAATAATCTGTGCAGTTTTTTCCAAAATACCTTGACAGAAAGTTGGAATGCATGGTTTATCTAAAACAAATTTGACAATGCAGCCTGAAAAGTCCAAAGTGCTTCCAGTTGTTAAACATTTTGCTTAATTTGCTAGTGATAAATTTCACTTATCTACTTGATGATTTTGTTTAACATAAGGGATGTTTAAATGAAAATGAGAATTGGATTATAGAACAATAATAAATGTGTTTATTTGAAAGAAGTATTGACGAACACTGAGACATTTTATCCCAATGTTTAACCAGCTTACTATACAAATACTATCATTGAGGAACTGGGCTGGCTGCTAAGAGAACCAGGTTCTCACTGCATCTTAAACCTTGTCATCAAATGTGTACTGACATCCAGATGTTTTAAGAGATCCAAAAATATGGAAGTACAGGGCTGAAATGCTGCAGATACTGTGATACCTTGGAGAAATTGCATTATGCCATAAAGTCTAAACACCCTGACAATCTCTCATCCTTTGTGGTTTTGCTACACGATAATGTATGATCATATACTGCCTGCTTCTTCACATGCTCATTGCATCATTTTGGATGTGAACTGTTAAGACACCCTGCACACAGTCCTGATCTTAGTCCTTCTGACTTCCATATTTTTAGACCTCTCATAAAACATTTCAAGGAACATTAATTTGCATCAGATGAAAGATTCAATAGGCAGTGAGAATGTGGTTCTCCCAGCAGCTAGATGTTGTAGATTCTTGAGGACAGTATTTCTTAGCTTGTTATATGTTGTGATAAATGTCTCAATGTTCATGTAAACTTCATTCAAATAAACACATTTATTATTGTTTTATAACCCAATACTCACTTTCATTTGAATGTCCTTTTGTGAGGCCGGAACCTCGGTTGACCGGTGGAAATGTGGCTGTCAAACCAGGGCCATTAATTCAGTGATTTATCTCTTGAATAGGACGAGTGGTCAAGGAATGGGGTTTAAGATGATTTAGTTGTCGCATTCACAACCTAATTGACAGATCCTCAATCACACATCATGGAAAGGAGTGAGGGAGCAACCGCCAGGGTAAATTTCAACGGCACCCTACACAGAGTTCAAAGCAGGAACTGCTGACACTCCTGTGGAGAGGGCAGTGGCTGGAGCAGCTGTGTCTTCTACGAGTCAGAAAATATACATTAGATCAAAATTTAAGAGACCGTCATCCAGGGAAGGGCTCCAGAGGAGAATGGTCCAGATAAGGGTCACCAACTCTGCAGCCTGATTTACATCCCTGGCAACAGACCAGGGACCAATGGAGGTACAAGGAACCATTGTTTGGACCAACCACAACTCGAGATTTTGGGTTAAAATGTTATAAAAGCCCAGAATCCCAAGGACATGGTGAGGTTGATGTGAGTGGGAGATCGGGAACAAGTGGGACAACTCTTGAAGTCAAACGAGGATTACAAAAATGACCCAATATATAGACAAGTAAGAAAAAGTGAGGAACTTAACTTCCCCGAGACACTTCTACTCGGTCTGGTGCAAACTACCCTCTACTCTTCCAGCCTCCCGAATTAACTTATCCAAGGAGATAAACCTTCTCCTGCTTCAGAATCTGAATCAACTTATCCATTGAGATGAACTCTCTGTAGTTTGGAAAGACATATTCATCTGGATGGCATTTTGCCATTTCTGTAAGCATGAATTTTTATACAAATAAATGCATAAATTTCATCATTTCAGTCTCTCTGTGTCCTGCAACCACTACCCCCACAGGGTTGGCAACATCACACTTTATATAATGACTGTATAGTTGATAGCTCAAAGCAATATTATTGAACATTTTTATGTGACTAATCTTGTAAATTTAAATATTCAACTAAAACTGACAGTAAATAATCTTTATACATCTAATATTAATTCTTAGTTTAAGCTATTAGTCTATTAGCAGTTTCTCATCTTCAATTTGAATTAAACAATGTAAAGAAGTCTTACTTTCATTTAATTAATTATAAAATACTTTACTACAAATTATTGGTCAAGTTTTTTCTTTTTTTAAAACCAGTATGTTACAAAATGGTGTGTGCAGATTATTCAAGTACAGTAGACCCCCCTATAACACAGTAGATACGTTCCGTGTTTTATGAATTCCATGTTGTACGAGTCACTTAAATACATGAGCCAATCACAGCCCAGCACGTATACAGTTTACGGATTACGGCTGTTTGAAAGGTTTTCTTCCATAAAATTAATCGATTCTAGACTAATTTGACTCAACATTTCCAAAACACACAATTTTTTGGGAATAATCCATATAAACTATGCTATAAACACAAAATTGTAGGCTTACTTACTGAGTGTGCACCATTCGACATCGTCATTGCTTAAGCTTGTTTTCGTCGTGGAGCGGCGCATCGAATGGCAGGTGTGTGTTTCCAGATAAATTATTTTTCTTCGAAAAATTTGCTGAACTTTGGAGACATCATTAATATAAATATAATTTTTATGGCCGTTAAATAATAAATGGTTTTTAGTAGGTCCGCAGCTCATTTAAACTCAACGGTTTGTGCAATATCCGCTATTGGTCTAGATTTGACCAATCCTGTCATGACACGAGTCGGCGATGATGTTTTTCCGTATCATACGAGTCTATTTTAGCGTGTTTATACGAATATGATCGCAATTTTTTTGCCGTTATATACGAATCCATATCATATTAATCCATTTTATAGGGGGATCTACTGTATATACAACATTTCAATTTTATATATAAAATACCAGTAATTTATAAATTTACTCAAATTTAGTATTTTGTTGCTTTTTACTATTTGATGAATATGTATTCACATGTTAGCTTCTGCCATTGCAAAAAAAAAACTTTGCACTGAATACACTAATTCATTTTTTTTTTTAGAGATATGTTACTGGTTTACATAGATTAAAAATAAATAAATTTTTTTCCATTTCAAGCAATCTTTATGGAATTATATGCAATGACACAAAAGTAAGCAATTGGCACATACCTAAGAACATATATAATGGTTTTTCATCATTTATGACCTGATAAAGTGAGAAAACAAACAAACAAAATCTCTAAAATATTTCTTACACTTCCAGGTATAATAAATAACACATGAAAAATAACAAACATGCACCAAAAACTTTCAGTGTCCAAACAATGCAAAAATGTACCACATTGGTAACAAAGGTTACAATGGAAAATTGCATCAATTAACAGCAAAAGTGTTAATATTGCAATTTTTATTAGTTACATACGTACATAATATAAACAAAACATAAGAGTTAATTTTCATAATGTTATTTTGATTTAAATGCTTGGTAAATCTGTAAATCACAATTATTTGTATTTATTGATGCATGTACTGTATATTGTCTAATAGATTTTTTTTAACATGAGAATAAACTCAATGGTTAAATTTGTTCTACACTCTTTAACTCCACAGTTCTAAGAACTAAGATTTTAACTACTGGTAAATAAATAAATACTTGACCAATGAACCAAAACATTAAGTTGTATTTATCTTTTTATGATAATACTACAATCAAAAAATTATCATAAAACAAATATCTTCCAGATGAAAATCCTTCCAAATTTCTGAAAAGAATATTTTAATCAAAGTGTCGAAAAAATAAAGTAAAAGATAATATAAAATGATAATTTAGTAAATAAATTGTATGTGGAAGATGTGTTTTTTCTTTTTTGACAGTGCTCATTAACAGTATTTCATACTATAGCTTCAACTGTGGCATAAACATTTATTTCAGTTAAATATAGCATTATATGTAATAAACTTTAGATTTAATAACCAAAAATGTGCCATGTTATGTGAATCTATGCTATACAAAACAAAGGACAACCACAAAAAATAGGATTAGGTTCCGAAAGCTAACAAAAAGTATACTATTTTTTATAATTACGAGAATTAATTAATTATTTTTTGCTTTAATAAATGTAACAATCACAATCAAAAGTATTTCATGTTAATATTAACTTTTTTCTTTATTGCTACACACTGTTAAATGAAGATGATATTTTGCCAAAAAACCTATCTGAACTTTCCTGTTGACCTTAATCTGAAGTATCAGCAATGTCTTGATTTTTTCTATACTTTTTTTCATAAAATCTGATATTTTCATTTGTTGCATTTGCCTAGGAGACCATTAAAAATTTAATCTTTTTACATAGTAACTTTTAATTTAATCTATAAAAACAAAAACACAGTGACAACTCATTGGGCTCATTTCAAACACTATCACTAATGACAGCAACACCTGGTTTATAGGAAAGCTAACATAGGAAGCTAGGACAAGTAAGAATAAAAATTGTACAATCAATTCTCACTAAAGAAAACTGGATGAAAGGCATGAAACAACATTGAAAATTTCAACATTCTAAAATCCATGGACAAGTAAGACAACATGCCTGCTTGCTTGAATAAAAAATATCAAATGACAGCATTTGCACTTAAAAATTGTGATGTTTTGTACAGGGATATCTCCAATACTTAAACTGTTAGAGCAAAACCATGTTATATGAGTGATTTCCTCAATTCTCAAACCACTGCTGTGTTGTACAAGGAATACCTGTACTTTTTGTTGTTTCTTCTTCTTTGATTCTTCTCTGTACTACATGTTATCATTAAAAATCATGTGCGAAGGAGCACATTTATGCTGTGATTACCTGTTGAATGCCTTTTGGTATATATCATATATGATATAATTTCCTTAGCTGCTACCATGTAAGACAAGACTGTAAATATGTATTTGAGTTTTTTTGTTAACTTTCAATGTTTTGGAATGGCAAGGCTTTAATTTGCTAATTGTGATTTCCTTATTTACTATTGTTTGATATTATAACAACATACTAGTTTAGTAAAACCCACCCAAAACAGAACTTGAATAAAATGGAAACCTGTATAAATGGAAAAAATTTCTTCAAAATGGAGTAATTTTCTATGTTAAAAAAAAAATCTGTTTAAAATGAAAATCTGCCTAGTCAGAAGGAATATTTGGTACTATATGATTCTGGTTTACACAAGTTTTACAGTGCTTAGCTTAATTGGGAGTTTTGAAACATTTATAAAGATTAATACTTTTGCATCTGTCACTAACAGGTCATTGACAGTTATCTTTTACCATTTTTTAAATTTTTGTGATGTAATTGAAATATGAATAGTGAGATTCACATTTTTTAATAGTTTATATTTTTCACAAATTAAATTTAAATTCCCTCTTTTTCTCTTAATTTGTATTTTACTATTAAATGTGAATTGTTGATCTCAGTGTTATTAGAAATTCCTAATAATTTAATGAATTACATTTAAATACAGTAGCCTCTTGTTAAATCATACATATTTGGAGACAAACTAAATCAAATGGTATAATATAACTGATGTACAAGGTGTGACAATTAAATTCCAGGACTGGGGTAATAAAAGGACACAAAGAACATACAAGGTCTGTTCAAAAAGTATCGGACCTTATTTTTTTCCGCGTAAACCAATGATGCGAGAGAGGCCTCCTTCGGTGGAGTTGTGGAGGGGACAGTCATGCACAGCCCTGAATTTTTTCCCGCCTGCAGAAAGCGTCAGTCGTTGGCAATCGGCGTATGAGTGAGGTCATGTAGTGCGCTCTCGTCGGATTTCACTAAGCTGGAAAATGACTGAACAACGTGAGCAGCGATATTACATCAAATTTTGCCAAAAACCTTGGCGATACCCGAGTGTAAACCATTCGCAAGATTCAGCAGGCTTTCGGGGACGATCCTCGAGGCCAAAAAAAGCGCGGCAGGTCCGCAGCAATATCAAAGGTCATGTTGACAGTTTTTTCGACTCTCGTGGGGTGGTGTGTCGTGAGTACGCACCACAAGGCCAAACCATCCCAAAGGAGTACTACCAGGAGGTCCTTCGTCGTCTTTCCGATACAGTGCGATGCAAACGATGGGATCTGTGGTCGATCAAAACTTGGCAGCTCCATCGTGATAACGCATCCGCCCATTCTGCGCATCTGATTCGGGCTTTCGTCGCCAAACACAATACTCCTGTGGTTCGTCACGCTCCGTACTCTCTCCACATGGCTCCGTGTGACCTTTGGCTATTTCTCAAGCTGAAAATGCCGCTAAAAGGAACCCAAATTTAGTCGAGAGAAGACATCATGCGAAATGCGACGGACCGGCTGATAACCATTCCAAAAGATGCGTTCCAGCAGTGTTTCCAGCAATGGCAGGAACGCTGGGAGAAGTGTATACATTACCAAGGAGACTACTTTGAAGGGGATTAGGGTTTTGTATCTCAAAGTCAATAAATTTATTTTTGCCGACCAAAGGTCCGATACTTTTTGAACAGACCTTGTATAATGAAAAAACCCTTTTAATATATTTCAAAGTAATCTCCCTGGAGGGCAATGCACTTCTCGCAATGCTTGTACAAGTTCTTGAAACACTCAGCAAAGTCACTTCTGTTGACAGCTCTCAATTCCTTGGTCACATTGCGCTGTGTCCTCCAGGTCGTCAAATCTTCGTCCCTTCAATGTGATTTTGATTTTCAGAAACAAAAAATAGTCCAGTAAAAAGGGGGCAACAGTTCATTCAAGATGTTGATGATCAACATTTTGAATGAACTGTTGACACGCTTCCAGCCTGAGACGCTTTTGGTCCTCAGTGAGATAGTGTGGAATAAAGTGGGAGCAGATTTTTCTTTTGCTCAAATCTTCAGTGATGATTAAGCGAGTTGTCTCCAGATTGACACCAATTGTCTCTGCTATCATCCAAATAGACATTCAGCGGTCATATCACAGTAAGTCTCTGATTTTTTTGATATTTTCTGGTGTTCGAACTGATTGAGGTTGTCCAGGGCAAGCATCATCCTTAAGGTCTTCCCGACCATCCCTGAAATGCACAAACCACTCGAAAACACGAGAACGGGATAGGGCATCATTCCCATAAACTTGCTTGATGAGGGCATACGTCTCTGTTGCACTTTTACTGAATTTGTAACAAAACTTAATGTTTGCTTTTTGTTCCATGACAAAAGCGTGATAGCATTTTCTCACAGCAATATGTGAATGGAGTACATAAAAAGAATGAGTTACGAGACAGGAACAAATCTTTGCAGACAAGTAGCCAGATGGTTGAACTATTATGACAAGCTTAGACAATTTAATTCCAGGACTGGTCGTGTAGTGCTG